CCCCAAAACCCCAAAACCCCAAAACCCCAAGTGAAGGGATATTCTTGACTTGATCGAAAATTAAATTAATTGAAGATTAATAAGATGAGGTATTAATTTATTTTCAGAAGACAATAATTATGTGGGAAAGTTTTTATCAAAAATGCGGTATTTAACTTAGTTGTATTTTTAATTTCACTAACATTAGTGCTTACTGGAGAATACTCCATATTGTCAAACAATAAATTAGTCGTATTTACAAAGTACAATGAGTCGAAAAATTCCGAGTCAATACTTGAGGTTGGTTCATTCTCTTACGAATAAATCATACTCAAATTCTGACTAGGTTTATAATTAAAGTTGACTTTTTACATTTTGTGCGGAAAAAGAAATATGAATTATCTCATAATTCCATTCCTCACCTTACTGCTAATCTTACTCCATATTTTAGTTTTCTTTAGATGCTTATTCACCCGAATTATCTTTCAATGCATAATTAGATTGAGGTGATAACCCTTTATTTAGTAATGATGCAATATTATTTTTATTTTCAATACCTGTATCAATGGACTGCAAATTGTTTTATTAGTAGGACCTCTAGAATTATTTCTCTACTTTTGAATTATTAATTTGGTTATCATTATCTTAATCATCTAAATTTGACCTTATATTCACCACTCTTAGAAAATTTGTGATTTCTTTGGGTCTTATACATATCTACTTAATTTAAGGCTCATAATGTTTAGTTAATTGCAGTGACTCCTCGTCAAATGACTCAAGCCTAAGTCTTTTCTTTAAGTTGAATGATGAAGCACTTATTGAGTTTTATTTATTATTCTATGATGAACCAATATCTTTTCTCTGGATATTTGGTAGTGAATCACAGTTATTATAAGAATTTGTATGGGATAAAGCCCCTAAATCGAGTCTTATCTGACCCAATTTGTGGATACTGTATTAACTTATCTTTTTTTGGTTGATTTGAGATATCTTGGATGATAAATCCTCGATAAAGGTGGTAGTTTCGTTGGACATTTTATAAGTTAGGGTATTGGTTATAAAATGAGTGTTCGTGTAACAATCAAGGATTTTCAATTAGTATATATAATTAATACTTGAAAGATTAATTAATTAAGGTGCATTTTTTAATATGCCCCATATTCGCAATTTACTTAATTCTTTCCGATACTTTAGCTGATTTAAAACAAATTTAACCAAGCGGGGTTTTGGGGTTTTGGGGTTTTGGGG